GCTGACTTTTAGTTTGCAACTGATTTAAACCCAAGCTGGTGAATGCAAAACAAAAATCAATATTTCTCCCCCAGGAAGAAGACAGCTGCTGCAAATGTAGACTGATGTATTGCCTGATTCAATCTTCACTATCCTTTCCGGGATTTTATGAATGGACTGCACTGGGAGGGGCAAATTGTCAGCAGAGATGATGTCAGCAAGCTCGATGAAACTATTGTACAGCAGGGTATTCATGAGACTATAATTTCAGTGCTTTGTCAGATTGGCTGGCTGACTAACACACAGACTGCTGACGGAATGAGTGTTCCCTGTTGCTGGCTTGAGTCACGATTGAGCTGGTTAAAGGTGTTTGAGCTGCGGAGCGCAGCAGCATGTTAGTTCCTCGCGAGTAGATGGTTTTAAACTGGAAGTGGCCCTTCACCCGAGTGCTCCAGGGGTGCAACCGCATCTCTTTACCCCCCCCAACTCACCAGCCGTGGGCAGGCCTGGCGTCCGTGCTAGCAGCATTTCATGGCACCATGTTCTGCTTTTGTTTGCAGAACTCCTTGATGAAGCTGCAGAGCTTCGACATTGACCTGTGCTCATCGTTTCTGCCGAGCCCCGAGGAAAGTCCTGGAACACAACGGAGCAAGGAGCAACCCCCTCAAGTCAATCGGAACGGCATTGCTGATGAAGGAAGCAGTGGGGGTAAGATATTTAATGCATGTTAAAGATTTAACGTCTTATTTTTGATGCAGAAAGTGTCCTGTGCTTTGCTGTCCAAACGGACACCTTAGAATTCATTTCACTTGTACTTTAGCAAAGCTGCTGTCTTACAAATCCAGGGTGTCAATCATTTTGTTATCTTGTTTTAAATTCAGTTTTATTGTGCTTTTTTAAATCATTTGAAGTGGATATTGAGTTTCCTTTATAATATTGAATGTCTGTCCTTCCATTCTAGTTTTGTTTTATTTGATACATTGTTTTGTTTTATCAGAGCGCGCTGCCCCAATTATTGATTTCAAATTAATGCATCGGCAGGATAGTGACGGTAAGTACCTTCTGTCGTTACACACACAACCATTTGAAACTCGGAAACCTGCCCTTTAATCCAGTCACATCACTGCTTGTCTCACTTAATAACCGCAGCGTGTGTGAGGGCGTACCTTATCTATGTTGTGTCTTCACTTACAATCTAGAGATAAGGTGTGGATTTGTTCGGTAAGACTTGGTCATGAGCAGGAGCCTGTCGTTATTTGTTTCTTTCACGTACAAATCAGATTTTCATTTTCGTTCATAATTGGGTTGTTTTCTTGAGTTCAAATGTGCACCTTTTGATTTGAAAGGACTGATATCACCGATTTGCTCAGCTTTTGAGTCCTCAAGCCACGCACGTCAACCGTTCCTGTCCACTACATAGCAACAGAGTAGTCCCAATGCATGAACGACACTTGACCCATTTAGAAACAAGTTTGAAGCATTGTTGGAACTGGATGACAGCCTCCACGTCACGGAGTTAGCGGTGATATTGGTTCTTTAATAGCTCAGGTGTTGAAAGTCAGATTTTGAATGTGTCACGTTCTTTCAAGAGATTGTGTTTGAACAATGCAGGCTGTAATTGAATGTGCAGGTGGATTGGCACAGGAGTACAAAAATAACTGACTTCACTATAAATTCATGAGGACCTGCTTTAATGCTTAACAGTGACGCATAAGCTCAGCTGGGAGCTGGTCTGAAGGGCAACGGATCCATTCAAAAGCTGGATTTTTGAGGGATAGTTATCTCATTGCAGACCTACACTTTGGATGTTTATAGATCAGGCACTTAATATTTGCTGACTACTGTGTGGTCATGTACTGTTTACAAGGAAATACAGCTATTAAATGCTCTTTGGTGGTAGACTTCTGGTTTGGATGGTCATAACCACCCTGACAAAGAGCATCTTGTGAGTTTATTATAAGCCTGAAGCAATTAACTTTTGATTAGGGACCGCTGTAAGGTACAAGAGGGTTTGAGGTGTGCTTAATTGTGATGAAGGTGAAATCCAAAAACAAAGCTCTGAACCAATTGCAAGACCGCAGTCGAGTATATCACTCATCACCCAGACAGGTTGCTAAAAGGTTGGCAAGCTAAGCAAATAAAAGAAGGACAATGCAGTGGGTATGACGTTGTAAATGATCCAGAACAGCCAAGTAGCAGGAGTGCGTTCTGAGGTAAATTGTGTGAAATCAAGTGTCAGTTGTATGTGAGTTATCCCAGCGTGAATGGAATCGTGTCAATGTGCAGTGACTGTGAAGCTACAGAATGTTGACATAAAGGGGACCCAGAATCTGTGATGTAGGATTGGGGACACAGTGGAGATTCTCTGTATAGTCCAGAGAAGAGTTGTGAATAGTAATAAACAAAGACGTGACTCAGTTGATCATGTACCACCACAGGGTTTGAACCTTTTTTGTTTGCACATACGCAGGTGGGATTTTAAAATTTAAGTGCGGCTTTTTCAAACAGAGTTATTTTAGATTTTTGTACTCAGGAAGGCTTGTTAAGCCTTGCAAAAGCCTCTCATTGTCCGCTGGGAAGATAAGTGTCAGGAGTAGGAGGGTTGGTAAAAGCAGAGCGGACCCAGGGAAGCATAGCAAGGTGTGAAGGTCCATTGTGTGGGATTGGACCATCGTTGAGAGATTTTTGGGAACAAAAGGAGCTGCAATAAAAGCTTTTAAAGAAAAGAAACAATGCGACTCACCCACAGCAGTCTCTTGAAGAGTCACTGGTTAAATAGCTCGATGCCTGCTATCAATGTTTGAGCTGTCAGCTTCAAAAGGGTTAACAAGGTGTAGAGCTGGATGAACACAGCAGGCCAAGCAGCATCAGAGGAGCAGGAAGGCTGACGTTTCGGGCCTAGACCCTTCTTCAAAAGGGTGTTGGGATCCTGTACATCTTGAGGTGCTAATTAGCATATTCAGATGAGCATGTCAGGTGAAACAGGGATGCCATGGGCAGTGCAGGAGGACCAGTTAGTGATTCTTAGCAGACTGGAGTCTAGCTCTCCAAGTGGGTGGTGGAAGGGAAATTGAGCCCAAGATATATTTTAACATCACTGGTTGTCCAGCGTACCTGAAAGAGATTGGCCTGCAAAATGTTCACCCAATTCCATTTAAAGTTGCCATGAAATGGTGAACATGATAGACAATTATCTGTGACTTTATCGTATCAAAATGTATGTCAACGGGAAAGTGAGTGGCACTTTGAGTTGAGGCCCCGAGCTTTCACAGACTGGTTTTGAATCTCATGCAGATTTCTGAGCTGATGGGCTTTTATTGAACTGTCATGGGCAATTTGACCGGTGTGTGCCTTGCCAAGGTGCAGAACTTGGCACAAATTGGTGTTAAACTGAAGGAAATGGACATTATTGAAACATTTGATATGGTTCCTTATGGTAGGCTGCTCCAGAAGGTTAAGTTGCATGAGACCCATGGAAAGTTGGCAAATTGAATACAAAATGAGCTTGGTCATCGGAGACAAAGGGTAGTTTTGGATGGTGCTTTGCCGACTTTGAGGTCCATGACCAGCATTGTTCTGCAAGGTCCACACACAGACTTGGATGAAAATGTGTTTTCATCTGATTTTTGAGAGTTTGCAGATACTAAATTGGTGGAATCGTGGATAGTGAGGAAGCTAATCAAAGGATACAGCAGGATATAAATCAGCTGGAAAGTTGAGTGGAAAAATGACAGATGGAGTTTAATTCAGTCAAATGTGAAGTGATGCATTTTGAGAGGTCAAATGCAGGAGGAAAGTAGACAGTAAATGGCAGGACATTTAGGAGCATTGATATCCAGAGGGATCTTGGGATCCAAGTCTATAGCTGCCTGAAAGTGGCAATACAAGTGAATAAGGTATTAACAAAGGCATAGGGGATTCTTCTCTTCATCGGTCAGGGCATTGAGGATAATATTTGACAAGTCATATTCCAGCTGTATAAAACTTAAGTGAGGCCGCATTTGAAGTACTGTGGCAACCAGAACTGCACATACCATAGGAAGGGTGTGAAGGCTTTGGAGAGAGTGCAAGAAGAGATTCACCAGGATATTGCCTGGATTTGAATGTAGTAGCTATAAGGAGAGGTTGTACAAACTTGGATTGTTTTCACTAGAGCATCAGAGGTTGGAGGGTGACCTGATAATTTATATACATCTATGAGAGGCATAGAAAGACTCCAACTCTCCGTCCTTTCTCCTGGGGTGTAAATGTCAAATACTAGGGAGCATAGATTTTACAGCGAGAGGAGAGAAGTTTGAAGGATATGGGTGAGGCAAGTTTTTTTTTCACGCAGAGGATGGTAGGTGCTTGGAAAGTGCTGTCAGGGGAGGTGGTAGAATCAGATATGATAGCAACGTTTAAGACACATCTAGGCAGAGAACAGAGGGATGCAGACCATGTACAGGCAGATGGGATTAGTTTAGAATGGCATCATGGTCAGCACAGACACAGCAGGCTGAAGGGCCTGTGCTATACTGTTCAATGTTCTCTGGAGTGGCTATTGTGTATTTTCTGAGCTTTTATATTTTTTTGGACTTGGGTTTTTTTTTTCTTTCTGCCTGTGCAACAGAAAAACATTCCATTTACAGCCTGAGATGAGCCTATTGTCAACTTACTACCTCTTATCAACTTTGTCAGTCTGTTCTTGCAGCACAACCTGAGCCTCCACAGAGTGTAAAGTTAATATCGTTAATGGCTAGCAGTGGGTTCAAAAACAAGCTGAATTTTTCCAAGTTTTTAATGCACCATTATCAAGGTTTCCTGGGATTCTAAATCTGTAACTCACTATTATTATTTTATTCTTTCATGGGATGTGGATGTCACTAGCAAGGCCAGTGTTTGTTGTCCTCCCTAATTCCCATTGAACTGAGTGGTTTGCTTGACCGTTTCAGAGGGCACTTAAAAGTCAACCACATTGTTGTGGGTCTGGAGTCACGTGTATGCTAGACTGGGTAAGCACAGCAGGTTTCCCTCCCTAAAAGGGGCAAACATTATCTATTGACACTTATAGATATTACAGATACCATACTCTAAAGGGTATGAGTGAACCAGATGGATTTTTAACAATCAATGATGCTTTCATGGTCACCGTTATCGGTACTAATTTTATATAATTCCATTAGTTGCCATATTGGGATTAGAACCTGTGTTCCCAGAGGATTATCCTCTGGGCACTAGTCCAATGATGTTGCCACAATATTGGCGTAGGCATAGTGGGCCAAAGGCCCTGTTTCAATATGACTTTGCCACCATCTCCCCTATTTTTTTAGTGTGCCTTCAAACAGGCGATCGACAAATGCACATCCGATAGGAAGTGCAGTGGCTTCACTTCGTTTAAGCTGGATCTTGATTCTCCCACAAACTCAGGGATGTGCGCAGCAAGTGATCCTCTTTATCCGCCCCTCCTGAAAACCCAGGCAACTCTATCTTTTACCGCCTGAAGCCCAGGACGTCAGTATTTCCTGGGGGAGGAGACTATTCATTTAGCCACACAGAAGGAATATTTACTCAGGAGCTGGATTTGTTATTGATGAACTGGCAGTGCTCGGGAGTGGATGGAAGAAATGAAAAGCTTACTTGTTCCCCCGCATTTGCTGAGGACAAAGGGTTTTTTCTTATGATGGTATAACAGCTAGTTCACACTGACACCATAGCTATTACAAACCTTATGTGATGCAATAGAGATTTCTGCATGTTAGTGAATCATTATCATGAGAAAGGAGTAAGTGACTAAAGCTAGAATAATTGAGCCATACCGGGCATAAGGAGGCCATTCTGTCTCTCCTATCTGTGCTAGTTCTTTTTGAAATATCTAATCAATTAATCTTACTCTCTCGCTCTGTCCCCAAATTCTCCATAATGTTTCACTTTTCTAGCATTTACTGAATCTCCTTTTAAAAATTATTTGTGAATATGCTTCCAGAGTCCTTTTTAGTGCATTTCAGATCATCATTACTTGCTGGTTTAAAAATAAAATAATTTTCGTCTCTCCATTTTTCTTCCTGACAAATTATTTTAAATCTGTATAGTGACTGAATAGTGACTGAATCTTCCTCCAGTCGAAATGGCTTCTCATTATTTACTCCATTTTAAAACAAACCCCTCAATCTCCCTTAACCATTTTCTGCTTACAATTAGTTGCAGCTTCTCCAGTCTGTCTGTATAACTGAGGTATGTTTGTCCCTGGTACCAGGGGCAGGGGCAGGGACAGAAACCTCAGGCCCTGGTGCTACTCCTGGTCCAGACCCAAGGCACAAGCACAGCAGCCTATACCCCACTTAGGTGATGGCCTAGTGGTATTATTGCTGCTCTGTTAAACTCGGAGACCCAGATAATGTTCTGGGGTTCTGGTTTCAAATCCCGCCACAGCATAAGATGGAATTTGAATTCTGTTTTTTAAAAAAAGAAAATCTGGAATTGAGAGTCTATCGATTTACAGTGAAACCGATTTTGTTGCAAAAACCCATCTGGTTCAGGAATGTCCTTTAGGGAAGGAAATCGGCAATCCTTACCTGCTCTGCCCTGCATGTGACTCCAGGCCTACAGCAATGTGGTTGACGCTTAACTGCCCTCTGGGCAATAAATGCTGGCCTAGCTAGTGATGCCCTCATCCTGTGAATGGGGGCAAAAAATCAGGACCCGATTTAACCTTTTCCCAGAAGCCTGTCTTGGGCTCGGCCTGTTACCAGCTTGGTCTGCATGGTTTCCAAAGTAATTACACCCTTGGATACTCGCTCAAGCTCTAAGTACTGCATCCATGGTACTTTAATTCTGCAGCACTATGGGATGGTGGCTTGGCATTTTGGAGATATTGGTCTGGCACAAGGTGATTTACTACTTGACTTTTCAAGGTTTTTTTTGCAATTAAGTAAACAGCTGAAAGAAACACTACAAAAATAAACAGCAGAATGTTCTGCAGGTAACTTGTATTTTCGTTCAGATTTTAAGAAGTACTATGTCAATCATTTTTGAAAAATAACCTTGAAATTGAACACAAATATGTGACATGGACATGTACAAGGGGTGGCAACAAATGTTGACCAGTCAGTGATGCCTGCATTCCCACAAACGAATTTTAAAAAAGTTTGATTCCTTGTTTCGACTGTTCAAATATAGTCAAACAATTCCAGGCTTTCGTGCTGCATTGTCCCTTTGTGCAAGACTGCAGTCTGATGACTTTGTTTGTTTGTCCTAACTCTAGCCTTGAGGGAGAGAACAAACTCCTAACATGTCTGGCTTATTTTTACAGAGCCAATTCCAGCCTTTGAAGGCTGGCAGAGCGAGCTGGAGAATGGAGTCGAAGCCCATCGATCCCTGGGGGCTGGTAGGTTGCTGCACCACATCGCAGAGGGTGACAACCCACTAGTTTCACCGCGTTGCTCCAGTTTCACCAAGAGCCAAAGATTTGTATTGGACACGGAAGCTGCCCCTTCTCCACCAAGTGCTCAGCTCTTCATCATGTAAGGAAAGGAATATATTGCACCTTATCCTTTCGCAAGCACAAAAGTATGTGTTTGCAACGTGGATGTTTGCTCAAAGTGTCTCTTCTTTTCATATCTCGCGTGTATCTTAATAAACTGCAGGGTAGGGATGGTATAAATATAAGCTGCAACTCAATTGGTAGAGTGTGATGGAGTGCTGCACTGTTACAGGTGCTGCCTTTTGCTTGAGACCTTAACCTGAAATTCTCTCTGTACTCTTAGATGAAAAATTCCATGGTTTTATTCCAAAGATGATTTCTACACCATGATTTATCCCATGACAGATAGTACTGAAACATAACCTTGTTGCTGGTTTTACAGTCTAGTTTGCTGTGCACAATCTAGTTGCTGCATTTCCTACGTTACAGCAGTTAAACCAGAGTACAGATTGCTTGGTCCAGGCTGCCAGTGAAGGTGGACGGGCACGATGTGCACTAGGACGGCCTGCCAATGAGCTTGTGCTCAGTTGTTCCGGGAGTGAAAGAGAAACATGAAGTGTTTGAGCTTACACGAGAGTGCATGAGTGAGCAAGCACTCGACGTGGGAGACTGTTCACTGGCACCTGTGATGTTTTCCATGTTCGCTCCCTCTGCCATGATATAGTAGCCTGTAAGTAGGTTCTCAAGGCCCAGAGCTGCAGTAGCCAACACAGATATATCCCAAAATGCTTCCGGTTGCCAAGATTTAGCCACTGGAGGAGGAGCCCATAAGAATGCTGGCATATACAAACAAGCAAAAACGATGCTTAAGGGACTACAAAATACGGATTCTCAATTGTTCTGCATAAATTACATGAGCCGATAGAATTCAGTCATTAGGGTAAAGTTTTTTTTTGTTCACAGTACATGGATATTGCTGGGTAGGTCAGCACTTGTTATCCATCCCTGAATGGTCTTTGACTGATGGTGAACTTTACCATCCAATGAAATTGGCTGATCTTATAGTCTTAGAGCGCTTGATTGCTCTAATCCTTAACTCCACTTTCCTGCCTTTTGCCATACCAGTGATTCTCCTACTGATTAAAAATCTATCTACTTCAGCCTTGCATATAGTTAACAGCACAACCCTCTATGGTGAAGAATTCCACAGATTCACTACCCTCTGAGAGAAGAAATTCCTCCTCATTTCTGTCTTAAGTGTGTGACTCCTCATTCTGGTCCTCGACTCTCACTAGGGAAACAACCTTTCCACATCTGCCCTGTCAAATCTCCAAAAAATCCTATATTTGTTTGAATCAGGTTGCCTTTCATTTTTTTTTTTAAGACTCCAGTGAGTACAAACTCCTCTCCTCACAAGGAAAAACCGCACAAACGTTCTTTGAATTTCCTCCACTGCCAATTTTATCTTTCCTTCATTTTTGGCGGAGGAGGAGGAGGAGACCGGGAGCGAGAGGACCCCTGGGAAATATAGTTTGGGTGGAATCAAAACCTGAGACCCCACAAGAGTGGTGTTGCCCACCCTTCCACCTCCTCTAACCCAAGAATAAAAGGGTAAGTAAGTTATTCTCTAATTTTTACAAATCTTTCGGGGAAGTTTAAATTTAGAGGGGATGGCAGTCAGGGCAGTGCAATGTTTCTTCTGCAGTATGTGGGAAATAAGAGTCAACAGATGATCAGAGGTATAGATAGAGTAGACAGCCAGAGACTTCTTCCTAGGGTGGAGGTAGCTATTACGAGGGGGCATAGTTTTAAACTGAGTGGAGGTAGATATAGGGGAGATGCCAGAGGTAGGTTCTTTACTCAGAGTGGTCGGGGCATGGAATGCATTGTCGAAGAGGGTAGTGGAGTCGGCCTCATTAGGGGCATTTAAGCGTCTATTAGATAGGCGTATGGATGATAGTATAAGGTAGGGGTGGAGGTTAGATAGACCTTGGGTTTAGGGTAAAAGTTCGGCACAACATTGTGGGCAGAAGGGCCTGTACTGTGCTGTACTATTCTATGTTTTAAGTTCTTAGATAAGGGGAGTTGTGGTCTGACTAATATCTTGTATAGTTTTAGCAAGACCTCCATACTTTTATGTTCGATTCCCTTTGCAATAAAAGCCAATACTCCTTTTTCCTTCCCGGTTACCCACTGAACTTGAATGCTGACTCTCTGTGATTTATGCACAAGGACCCCACATCCCTTTGAGCTGCAGCTGTCTGCAGTCTTTCTCTATTCGAATAATATTCGGCTCCTCTCTTCTTCCTACCAAAGAGCATCACCTCACAATTCCCCACGATATTTCATCTACCAACGTTTTGCTCACTCACCTCTATTCCGCTGTTATCCTCAGCACTTGCCACCTATTTTTGCGTCACTTCAAACTTGGTGATAGTTCATTCACATTGCTTTATTCAGGTCATTAATATATATTGTAAATAATTGTGGCACCAAACACTGATCACTGAAACTCCACTAGTTGCAGTTTACCAACCTGAAAATGTCCCCTCGACACCATCACCACCACCTCCCCTACCCCCCACACCCCCTTATTAATTAACTAGTTCTCTATCCATGCTAATATTCTATCCCAACGCTTTGGGCTGTTATCTTGTTAAGTAGCCTTCTGTATGGTACATTATTGAATTTGTGCCTTTTGGATATCCAAACATATTACATCCACTGCTTCCCTTTCCCAGAAGGCCTTTGATAGGATGCTCTTAAAGAAGAAAGCTGATCAAATGTACCCTCGTAACTGAGACTTTTCATCCCACGCAACATTCTTGGATCTGAGATCAAGAAAGAAGTGGTGTTGGGTCCCTTGAAGAGCATTAAGATGGATAAGTCCCCAAAGCCCAATGGTATGAGTAGAGGATTAACTGACTGGCAGATAAGAGTCGGGATAAAAGGGTCTTTTTCACTAGTTGGAATTCCACAGGAGGTTAGTTTGGACCACAACTATTCTTGTTATACATTAGCAATTTAGACGATGGAACAAGGGCATTGATGCTAAGTTTGCAGATGACACCAATTTTGGAGGGATAGATGGTGTTGAGGAAGCAGAAGGGCTGTGGAAGGATTTGGACCTGCTGGGAGATTGGGCAAAGAAGTGGCAGTAACATTCAAATTCACTTGGCAGTTAGGAAGGCCACTACAATGTTAGTATTCACTTCAAGAGGGCTAGAATACAAGAGAAGAGATGTTCTGCTGAGGCTGTATAAGGCTGTGGTCAAATCATATTTGGAATATTGAGGAGGTTTGGGCCTTGTATCTAAGAAAGGATGTGTTGTTGTTGAGGGGGGCTGCCACAGGAGGCTTACAAGAGTGATCTCGAGAATGAAGGACTTTTCATCAGAGGAGTCTTTGTGGACTCTGGAGTTTAGAAGGTTTGGGGGGTGGGGGGTCTCATTGAAATTTATAGAATGCTAAGAAGCCTGGACTGAGTAGATGTTTAGTAGCTGTTTCTACTAGATGGAGAGACTAGGACCTGAGGGCACAGCCTTTGCCATTTCCTGATTCCCATTATTATTTCCTGTCCTCATTTTCTAAAGAGGCCTATCTTTGCTGTTGCTTCTCTCTCCCTTTTCATTTATTTAAAGAAACTTTGACTATCCATCTTGATATTACTATCTAATTAATTTTCACCATTTGTTTGTCATCTTTTTGTTGATTATTGTATGTTTTCCCTATCATTTTGATATTATCCTTAATTCCCTAGGTAACCACGGTTGGTTTACCCCCTTCTTAGAATCCTGTTTCCTCACTGGGATATATCTTTGTTGTGAGTTGTAGAGAAGTGAGGGTCCTCGGACAACTGGAGAGCCACGGGGCAGTGTCCTGTGAATGCAGCCAATGGCTGCCTGCTCAGTGAAGACCCTGACTTGCTTCTCTCCTCTGCTCAGGTGGAAAGGATCCCTGAAGACCGATTTTGTTTCTGAGGTCTCCTAGCTTTGGAGAGGTCCTCAGTCCTTTTGTTGTCCAGACCCTGGATCTGCAATAAAACTGCCCTGACCCAACAAACCAGCAAAACATTGTTTGAAGTCCCCTATCAGTTGTAGAAGAGAGAAATGATGCTGAACCATATACCTCCCTCCTGAAATGTAAAGCTCCATGGTTAATTAGCAGCTTAAATGCAGAAAAGAACAACGTGATTTAATCTAATAGACAGCCCACTACTGCAAGGTTCCTGCTGTGCATGAGTGAATCTGTTCAGTCAGGCACTGGGATAGCCTCAAAAATGAGTTGGAAAAGTATAGGATCCTTATTCAACTGTGATAATTACACTTTTACAATAGTTCCTGCAGACTGTGTGCACCATTTTGGTCACTTAGGCAGTCATTTTATGCCAGCAAAATGGACATAGAGCAATTGGATTTCCAGCCCACTTAATGTATTTTAGCTGCTTCAAAAGGAAACAGTTAACCTTGTCCAGATCCAATGAGCTTCAATTACTTTCGCATAATCTACCAGAGGCAACACCTTGTGTTTGACATTGACGGAGCATTTAAGTGCTTTGAAACTTGACAGCTGAGTGACAATTGTAGTTTCCCTTGAGCAGTAAAAGCTGCATTAAAGGCAAATTAATGCAATCTTCCTCAGCTTTTTCCAATTAAAACATTACCTTCTTGCCTAAAGTTGAAGATCATACTCGTCTGAAACTGATGGATCTTCCCTGGCCCCAGCTTCCTTTGCCAGACCTGCTGAGTTTCTCTGGCATTTGCTGTTTTATTTCAGTTACCAGCTACACTGGTGAGACAAAGATTATGGGGAGGACCTGGAAGGTGTTGCTGTAAGAAAGCAAGGACCAGCCTGAGATTTCATAAACTCTAAACCATGCACTGATGAATATCACTTTGGTGTTCAAAGGAGGAAGTGGTCAATTACAATACTGAGGCTGAAATGTACATCTAGCACTCCCATTAAGTATTTTACATTTTTGCTGTTTCTGATTTCCTATTAATTAATGTAAAGTGAATTTCCAAGCTAGATTGAATTAGGTAAACCTTTCTTTCTCTTTCATTCTCTCTATTCTGTCATGAAGTCCATATATCATTGTTG